CTTTCTCGCGCGTGCGCTTTCTCTCTCTCTCTCTCTCTCTCTCTCTCTCTCTCTCTCTCTGCTGATGGCAGGAAGGCCAGAAGGGTAAACTAGCAGAGCACCTCCTGGCAAGCTAGCAAAGAAAATTGGGGAAGCTCCGGAATTGCAGAATTTACACCTCCGCTAGCCCGTTCCTCTAACATAAAGTTTACCGTTCTCACGCAAGGGGCTACTTGAGGGCATTATTAGCATGACGTAGCCTCGGGGCACAAAAGCTGGCAGAGAGAGAAAGAGAGGGAGAGAGAGCGCGCGAGAAAGACAGAAGGGCCAAACCCAGAGCAAGGTGCTTAAAACCCATCGGAGGTAGTGGGGGGGTAGTGGGGGCGAAGTGCCTCTAGCCAAGTCTAGGGCCCCGGGGAAGTGGCCCACATCTGGCCACGATCCTCCGGCGGTCCCCCCACGTGTAAACGCGACCGCCACTTGAAACTGGGCCCCTACGCTGCGGCTCAATTCAGCAGTGTCACCCACAAATGGGACACGTCCGGTCCGGGTGTTTTTGTTGGTTTTTGGAACCATTTTCTTTTTCTGAGCTATGTTTCACAGTTTTTCGATGCAAATTTTATGTAAATATTGCTATTTTCCATGCCCCCAGCCCACTGCGTGGCCGAGATTTCGGGGGGGGGGGCGCCCACAAAAATTTTGCGACCTCCCCCTGCCCCCCTATCCCCGTCGCCACTTTCAAAACATTCGAAAATAGCGACAACAGCGCCCAGGCCAAAAAATTTGAAAACCGCGTTCGCAACGCTTAAATTCGTCGTAAAACACTTTGGAAACGGCCCCTCAATAGCGATTTTTACAACAATATGGTGCACGAATGAAACGGGCGCCGCGGCAAAAATAAAAATAGGTTTTCTAGAAGTAAAATTGTTTCGAAACAGTGATAAACAGCGCGCCAGAAAATTTTGCTAAGAAAACGGGGGCTTGGGGGTCCTTATAAATCCTGAATTTAGCGCTATCTTCAAGGACCTAAATCCAAATCGTTTTTCTCACAGCATCGTGTTACCCGGGGAAGGCAAAACGGGCCGAATCCATCCCATTGCGGTGGTGGGTTGCGGGGTAAATGGTGCCCCCTCTTCCCATTCAAAAGTGGAAGAATGGGGCAGGGTGGGGGGCAGAAAGCTCATTTATTCCGGCACCATTACTCGCAACGTCCCGGTCCGGGTTAATGTATCTGGGGACAGGAATGCCTAGAATTCATCGAAGCCCATTTACTACTAGGAATACCTCCGATTTCCAGAATGCAGGAAAGCATTTTAGTAAAAAGGGAAATTTGAAAAAACCCTGTGTTTGTCTGTCTGTTTCCCTATCTCGCTCACTTTCTTTCTCTCCCGCTCTCTCTCTCTCTTTCTCGTTTTGCTTTTGATACCTTTAAATACGGGTAGTAGGGACCAAAATTCTGCCATATTTCTTTTTTCCGAAATTCGACTCAAATTTCATCAAAACCCGTTCTCCCTCACCGAATTTGAATTAGGTGTCAATCGGCGTGCATGAGTCATGGGCCCGAAAAAGATGGACTCTTCCCGATAAGGGTCTTTTTGAATGGCGTCGGCCGGCTGACCGACTCATGCCTCTGGATGGTCGCTCTCCCTCGGGCCTTTTCCATCCCGATCGGCGCACCATTTTATGCCTTTTCGGCTGCCCGTTTTGTCCCCCCGTTTCCAATCGTCTCTCTCTCTCCCTCTCTCTCTATATCATTTTATCTCTCGCCCACCCATGGCCGTTCTCTCTCCCCACCACCCCTGTTTTGCCATCGCGCCGCGACAGCGTGGAAAAATCGTACGAAATGTGATTGTTGTCGCGGTGCATTTTATTTCCCAAATTTTCAAAGGGCGTCTTGTTGGCCGGAAACTCCGAAAATTTCCGTTATTGTACTCCTTACGACGACAAGGTCTTTTTTCAATAACTCAAGAAAAATTTTTCGATACTTCGACCTCTAAAAATTGTGCTCTCGATGTTCCCAATTGTTTACACCACGTTTCGATACCTTTTTTTGGGCAAGTCGGCTGACCGCTGGCGTCCCGCCGAGCCGCCAAATCCGCTAATCGTTCTCGGCCCCAGACGCCCACACACTGGGAGGCACACGCGCTATCGTTACGAATCACTGCCGCTTGCGATTAGTACACTTGGTTGGAAGAATGCCAAATTTTGACATATACGGTAGTTTTGTAATTTGAGACATTTAAAGTTAGCACTTAAAATTTGAAAGGTTTTTTTAAAGATAAATATTTAAAAAAGATTTTAAATAGTTATCGAAAGGGTATTTTGAAGTTGAATAAAATATCAAAAAAATTTTGCCGAACGTAAGTATCCTTTTTGGCCCCATACAAGTGCCCGAAAGTCGCATTTAAAGAAGCCACAAAAATTGCTTTTTCCGATTAAAAGCATATTTTTAAAAAGCTCAAAAAGATTCATTTTAGAAGTTAGGGCAGCCAGGCCCGAGGAGGGGCCAGGGGGCCGCCCCCCGAAATCGGTCAAGGTTTGAAAATTCAAAGGGGGACCCTTATGATTTTAGTTACAAAAATTTTCTGCCTGCGGCGCTGTTTATTACTGTTTTTCAAACAGTTTTTACTTATATGCGGCCTTGTTTTTCAACATTTTTTCCCTGCGGCGCTGGTTTTTCATTGGTGAATCAATTGTTCATAAAATAGTTTCGCCTGCGGCGCGTTTTCTGCCTTGTTTTCACACGAATTTTAGTGTAGCGAACGCTTTTTTGCTATTTTTTTGCCTGCGGCGCTATTATTGGCGCGATTTTCGGATGTTTTAAAAGTGACGACGGGGGGGGGGGGGCGAAAAATTTTGGGGCCCCAGATTTTTTTTTTCCCCCCGGGCCTGGGTGCAGCATACCTTGTTGTCGCGCTCCCTTTAAAAGGGTAAAAGTGCCTCATGCCATTTTCAACCAGTTTCTAAGGCACCTTGATGTCACTTGAAAAAGCATTCACTTGACAAAGCATCTTTTTTTCAAGGATTTTTTAGACCTTGATGTCTAAAAATTTAGGGACTATCCCTTTAAAAGTACCATTCCATTTTTTGAACGCCCCAAGCCACTTTCTATGCCATTTCCGCCCCGCTCCACCATACCGGTTCGTATCCCCTCCCCATTGATGGGTGTGGAAAGTATGCATGCGTAGTAAAAGCAGGGGAGGCAACGATCCAGGTGGATGCGCATCCCATTCTTCCCTCCTGGCCTTCCTCTTCTCCTTTCTACTCCTTCTGTACACATAGAACTTGGGAAAGGCTTGGAAAAGAGGACCCATCGTAGGGAAGTAGAGAAAGGAAGGGGCTGAGTCATGGTGAATGGGGAAACACAACGGACCGTTCACCCCGCTGATCCACCCCGGGATCCCAAATCGATCTCGATCCCGGTGGCGCTGATTTTCTGAGGGAAGGAATTAATTTTGGGCCAGTTTTGAAAGTTTTTTTGCAATTTTTTCGAAGGATACTGTTTTTTGAACGTATTTGGCAGTTATTTCAGGCTTTTTTTGAAACTTGATTCTGCCTAGATCCAGTGGCTGAATTTTTTGCGGGAAGTAATTAATTCTCACTCGGATTTTGAATTCCTATTTCGCAATTTTCGCATTTTTAAAGCAATTTTTTGTGGTTTTGGGTGCTTCCTTCGGCACGGTTTTTCGGGGATTTGGGAATTTTTCAGGACTTTCTTCTTGCGATCTTTCCCCCCCCCTCTCGCTCTCTCTCTCTCTCTCTCTCTCTCTCTCTCTCTCTCTCTCGCTCCAACTTTCTTTCTCTTTCTCTGTCTGTTTCTCGCTCTATCGAAAGGTTTCACGCTCTCATTTCCGTTTAATTGGTGATTTCACGAATAGAATCCTCCCTTGCTCAAAGAAATCAGTTGATCCTTACTTCCAAACTCATTTTACCTGAGTTCCCCTATAAATTATTGCCCAACCCATCAAGCCTCCCCGCTCGTGATGCCAATCTCTGAGCACCCAGCCCCTCGGCCTTCAAAAACTGAGGTTCACCAGCATGGGAGTGACTGGTGGGCTCAAAAGTCTCTTCGATAAAATCGGGTTCAAGCCCGGAAAAAGTTGGCGCAGCAACACGAGCCTGATACGGGGTGTGACAACCAACTGACAAATCGGCGGGTCGTTTGTGTTTGCTTTTTCGCTTTCATTTTTGCCACCTTGCCGCGGGCGGCGGGGCGGCGAAGGACATTTCGGGGTCACGATTATCGCTATGCGAAACGTTTCCGAAATATTTTGGGCTTTTCCAAGGCTTTAAGCTGATTAAATTATGTTAATTTAGGTGTCTTCAATTGCTTTTATAGTGTATCGTGTTTTGCTGTTTTCCCAGCTGTTCCGCTGGAAAGATAAAAACGGTTTTTTTATTTTATAAAAAAACCCCTTTTTTTTTAAAAAAAAAAAATGTTTTTTAAAAAAAAAATAAAAAAAAAAAAAATAAAAAAAAAAAAAAAATAAAAAAAAAAAAAAAAAAAAAAAAAAAAAAAATTTTATTGACGAAACGAAAGCTATTTTCGCTGAAATTGACCTCTTGTTTCCCGAATTCTTCGACGCGCACCCGCTCTTCTCGTGCCAATGGATCCCATTGATATCTAGCTGTTAGTCATCCCCACTCGACTCAATTTCCCACAAAAATATTTTTTTCCCACCAGATTTCATCAATGCCTTGGGTCTAGGAATCTATGGGGTTGCGCAAAGTCTGTGCCTTCTAAGTACCTTTAAAAAGCCATTAAATTGGTTCTAGCCTTTTCTGGTGTATTCCTTGCTTTTTTGTGCTTTTTAACATCCTCCGGTTATTTCGAGCTAGGATCTCGATCTTTCGTTTCGCTATTAAACGACATGAGTGTTTTGGTAAATTTTGCCAAATTCAGCGTTGCGCTGCTGTCTTATGCCCTTCTTGTTCTCATTTGATCTTCATTTCTCGACCTCAATTGCGAAAAATCGAAATTATTCTGCTACTTTCCAGGTAGTTCTTCCTACCCCCACACGATGGTCAAGGACGGGTCCGTGAGGGGCCCCGAGTTGATCGAGATCTGCCGAAAGAATGATCTGGAAGAGCTGCACAACTGGCTCGTCAGGAAGAAGTACAAAAAGCACCGAACCCCGCTGAATTTTCTATTTAATTCGAATGGAGGGGAAAGTGGGCTGCTAACGATCAGGGACCAGAATAACGACTTGACGGCCTTGCATACTGCAGCGAAGTTTGGATACGAGGTAGAAGCTCGCTCTCTCTCTCTCTCTCTCTCTTTCTCTCTCTTTCTCTCTCTTTACACCGGCATTTCTAGGCAATATGCCGAACCCTAATCGAACATGAAGCCAAGCTTTGCACCTCCAAGGATAAGCAGGGCTGCCTTCCGCTTCATCTGGCAGTTTGGTATGGTCATGAAGCTGTAGTAAATGTAGGTTTTAACAACATCTATACCTTTCTAACAACTGGCTTTTCGTAAAACCTTGTAAATAATTTTTTAGCTTCTCTGCGAAGCCAATCGAAGTACTGTGGACTGCCGAAATAATGCCCAAGAAACCTCACTCCACCTAGCTGCCAAGCAAGGACATCACAATATCGTCCAAGCGCTTATTAATGTGAGTTTCTGACCTTTCAGTCAAATTTCTGGGGTTTACTCTTTTTGTCGCCATCCCTTTAAAACGCTTTTCTTCAGAATGGCGCCGATCCAAAAGCCCAAAACGCCCGCTGCGAGACCCCGCTCGACATGGCAGCCCGGAATGGGCATGGCTACGTCTGCAAAATGCTGGTCGCCTTCTGCCCGGATTTGGCTTTTCAGGTATCAAGAATTCCTGATGAATTCTAAGCTTACACGTCCCTTTAGTCAGCCGTCGAATGTTCATCTACTGCTGAGAATAGCCTAGCCGAGCCGAGGGTCGTGTACCCGATTCATATGGCAGCCATGCACTCGCATGTGGACTGTATTCGGATGTTGATGTGGGTTTTTCACTTCAATTAGTCTTAAACTAAAATATCTGCCTGTGTCCCTCTCTTTCTCTCCCTTGCTCATTCTCTCTCTTTCTCGTTCTCTTGCTCTCTCTCTCTCTCTCTCTCTCTCTCTCTCTCTCTCTTTCTCTCTCTCTCTCTAAGATATCTCGGCCTTTTTCGGGTTCGGGATATCTATTGCTGTATCTCTTTTGGCGCTAAAACTTGCGCTTATTATCACCTTCTTTCTCCCTCTCTCCCTCTCTCTCTTTCTCTCGCTCTCTCAAAACTAACATTATAGTCTCGCCGGCTTCCAACTTGACTATGTCACAAAAGAAGGAAGCGCGCTACACGTCGCAGCGAGATATGGTCAGATTGCAGCAGTGGAATACTTGATTTCGGAAGGTAATACAATCGATGACGCTCTTGTAATCTATATTTTCTAGGTATCGATCCCTTAATAAAGGATTCTTCTGGAAGGACGGTACTTGAAGCCCTTGAGCATCTACAGGAAGAGCCAGTAGAACTGACACAGTTGATACAAAGTCGAGAGCGGATGGAGGAGTGCAAGAAGTTGATCAAAAGTGAGGGTTTCGTACTGTCGCTAGTATGCATAGTATGGTCTTGTAGTGCTCTCTACTCTTTCAAAGCCAAGTTCTAGCTTATCTTTTTTTTAGCCTATCTCCGCAGCCTTGGCGAACTGAATACCTCTGATGATTCCGGGGTGGATGGCTCGCCAAAGGAGATCGTTTGGAGGAGACTGCCGAGCACTAGCCGAGGTATTGTTAATTTTTTCGGCGCAGAAAACTCAAAGTTTTTTAGCTTCCGAGGTGAAGCGCAATGGCTATAAGATGCCCTCCCCCAGCCCACCTTACCGGTTTCCGGACCGACCGGATCGGCCGGATGACCTGGACCCAGGTTCGACGATTTCGATATCGACAAGGGAGGATTTGGATACAGTGTAAGTTCAGAAATTGAGGATAAGTTCCTTAAAGGGACTGTCAAGGCAGTGTTTCAATCGGGTTAAAAACTAGCGCGATCAAATTGAGCAGTATACCTTTAATTAGGATTACTACCCTAAAATAGCCATTTTAGAAGCGAAATCTCACCCTGTTCTACAAATTATTCGATGGGATCCATGTGGAGATCGAGGTTAAATGATGGGAGAACGCCAAGGTCAGAAGCTTGCCTAGAAATTATTTATCAAGATTTTAATGCCATTTTTTGACTATCAAAAACCTTTAAAAGTAGCATTTAAAACAAAATCAAAAAAATAAGCTGAATTTAGAATTCCCGTGACCTCCCCGGATACTAAAGCCAGGCACGCAAGTGCGAGAAGATACCCCGAAACGATGCCCGCCGCTTTTAGCGTCGTTAGGACAAATACGTTGCCTACGAGGGGTAAAAGACATAGCTTTATACAGACAAATATATTACAGGAACAATTTTACCCTCCGAGCCAAACGCCTGCACCTACAAGCCGCCGCCAGAGCCGGCGAATCGGGTGTTGAGAGACGATGGCACTTCCCATACCTTTAACCCTGGGTTTTGCTATGATAACGTCCCTGAGAATCGGTGAGTAATAAAAATGATGTTTAAAGGGATAGTAAAGCCATAAAATCAATTGTATTGCTATTTGAGAGGATACCATTTTAGACAATGGAACCATGAATGTCGGGAGCACCCAATCCCGCCGCCTCGGAATTTAAATCGGATAGCGACGAGGTCAGATGGAACGCAAACCCTGCCAACGCCAAAAAGCCGAAATCGTGTACCAATGACGAGCGCCTTTGCGGCAATTCAGGAAAATGGAGGGCCAAGTCGAGAGGTAGGTAGCGTTGAACTGACCTCACGATTTCATCGCGTAATTGGTTGCCTTGATTGATTTTTCAGGCTTGGAATAGTAGTAAAAAGTGTGGGGAAAAATGCGGCTTTCAACTTTTGAGCAGCCCAAGCTTTTGTCCCGAATTTCCTTGCGTAATCTGCTTCCGTCAGATTTGATGGCGTAATTAGCTGCTTTAAATGGTTTTCAAAGGCTTGGAAGGCTAGTGAAAAATGCAGTAGGAATAGTGACCCGAAATTGCAAGCGGTTCAAAATATAACCTCGAATTTCCTTGTGTAATCGATTCCCTCGAATGCCTCGATTCCTGAGCTCTTTGTCTTGCCGACCGCCCTGTACCGGCCCTTCCCTTGCCGTCTCGGCCCCTCATAAACCCACCCATTCGCCCCTTCCCTTGGCCCATGTAGTATAGTGGTTAGTACTCCACGTTGTGGCCGTGGCGACGGTGGTTCGATTCCACCCATGGGCAACGCTTTTTGCTTTTTGGGGAACATGTTCAGAATGGCCTCAGTAACAAGCTTACGGTTTTTATTTAGGCTTTTACGTAATCTTTTTGCCTTTTAGGAGCCGACCCCAAAATCGACGCAAATCAGCTTCACGCTGGAGCGGCCGAGGGAGGGCTCAATCCACTCGACTGGGAGTATAGAACGGAAAATTGGTAAGATTGAGGTGAATCCCTTCGAAAATTTGTATTCAGGCCCTACGTCAAAGCCCCCAGCTGTGCCGAAAATTGTGGCAAGATGGCCGAGGCCTGCAGATCGAGATCGGGAGCGTGAAGACAGCTTGGGGATGGAGAATGGGCTCGATACCCGGGAAGGCAGCACATTTACATTCGCTTGCTCGACGCTGGAGAGGAAATGTAAGTCGTGGATACTGTAGTAGCTTGGAAATTCTTCCTAAAAAGCGGAAGTAATAAGCAGCCTAAAGCAGCCTGAAAAATCGCTCAAACCTTAAATTTCCTGATTTTCTCTGCGGATAGATGCGCTTGTCTTTCTCTTCCGGTTTTGAATGCATTCAAAGAATTTTTCGCTCTTTCTTGCCTTTAAAAACAGGAATTTAGCTCCCGCCAAACGTGTCCGATTCGGTAATCAATTTTCCAAGGCTTTTTCTTAACGGCTGGTTCGGTTTCATTCAAAGAAATTCAAGTTCCTGGTTAATGGGAATGGAATGCTATTTTATAAGCGCATAAGTGAGGAATTTCTTTTTAGCAAGTTCACCACCTCGAATAACCTACCGTGAAGGCCGAGCTCCTCTGGCCATGCCTGAAGATATGACACGGTCCACATCGAACTCGATCATGGAGAGTAGCATGTCGCCGGAGAGGACGATTGTGAATTTTGAGGGGAGAGAGTGAAAGACTGAGAGAGAGAGGGAGGGAGAGGGAGTGAACAAGAGAAAGAGAGAGAGATGCTGTGAAAAATACACGGTTCACCCAATTCTTTCAGAAGGACCTTTCCCCGAGTGACAAAAATTCCGTCTTTAGCCAGGCTTCAGCTATGGTAAGTTTAACGAAATTTGGTCAAGTTTTGCGTTTTAGACACTCCAAACACCATCCCGAAGTCGAAATCCTTCAAGCGCAGAAACGATTCGGATAGAGCAACCGGTGCTGGACCCTCCATCACCTCTAACGAGCCAGTCCCAGATTTTCGATGCTCTGGTTGGACAGGTAAATCTTAAAGCTGCTTAAAGAGACCTAAAGATCCGTCTAGTAGTGCAGTTTGACTTTAGGCTTGCCTGTCCCTTTAAAACGTCTCCTTTCAGAGGAACATCCACTCCCGAACGTCCGTCACGTCGGAAAGTACCGTAGCCTCCTCGAGCTCTCTGCCGCTTGTCAGCCAAATCTCAACCACCCCTACGTCTTCTGGAAGTCCAAGAAGAGAGAAGGAAAATGATCGCCAGGATAATGACGAGTGAGTATTTCGCAATTTGATTTTTTTCTCTCCATCCCGCTCCTCTCCGCAAATACCCTGTACATACAATAAATTATGCGCAAAAAAGGCGGGGTTAGTCATCAAAACATACACACCTCGTTGCCCCCGGGCATTCTCTGCATTTTCATTTTCAATCTATTGTTCTCTTGAATAGCGTTTGATATTTATTGATTTTTTGGGGTTCGGCTTTTGTACGTTTTCTTCTTTGTTATAGCCCAAAAGACTTGGAAATTCCTAGTAGAAATGATGCTGCTGCCGACTACTTGAACGGGGGATCAGGGCTCGCGATTCTTATATTTTTTTCGTGGGTAATCTATTTCATTATTCCTTTAGAAACTAACAGTTTCTCCAAAATTGCAAAAGCACGGTATGCATACGCTAGGGGGGCGCAAAAAAGACGACTAGGTTTTTATGCGCAGAAATTAGCCCCTTGGCGCGACACGCAACGCAGCCTTGACTTGACAGAGCTTGTCGACAATCATATTTCGTTACGCAATGAAAAGCGACGGGGTATGATTTGTCACGGGGGTTAAAAAATCTGGTCTTTATCGTCTTTTAAGTCCGTTTCTAACCTTAATCCTGATTTCTTTAGGATGGGCCACAAGCACTCGCGCGCGTTGCGTGTTCGCGACCAGACCGGCCGCCACAACCCGCCGCCCACTGCCAACAACCATCGACTGAACGAGAGGGCCGAATGGGATCGGGTTGGTGTTAGCTTTTCATTGTTTTATGTTGTATGTGTTGCTTCAATGGTTGACTGAATTCGATGCAAATTGGAAAATTAGTCCAGTTCTCGAGCAAGAGTCGAAAAAGAATTCAATCAACCTGTTCACCGCGTTAGTTCACTCACCTCCACAATTTTTTATCACTTGCACCATTGCTTTAGAATTATGCAATTAATAGTATGAATCAGATATAAGTAGATCATTTTGACCTCTTTGATCTTTACGCACTGACATTACATTGATCAAATTCGCAAAAAAAAGTAAAATCCAAACAAAACCATCAAAATTTCAAGATCGAGCGAATACTTGGCTCCTTCGGAGGGGCAGTCTGTCGCGAATCCGTATTCGCCAGCGACTTCGAGCCCCAGGTCGCAGGCTTCTTGCGGGACCGCCCGAAGATGGGCATGACGGCCGTGTCCCGGTCCTCCGGACGCGCTTCCGATTCCGCCGATGAGCTCGAAGCATCCACTTCAGGCGAAAATGACGATGATGATATGGTACTGCACATCTCTTTGTCCTACGTCTTCCAAGAAATTCTCTCATTTTTTTGAGAAATGTCCTTTCGTCTTGGCGCACTTTTCTACAGTTTTTTCGAAAGATCGTTTTTCATATCTATTCTTGCACAATGGGGAGCTGGCGAAGAACATTTAGAAATTGATTTTTCCGCTGTTATACCCTACAGGCTGCTTTAAAATGAAAATTTGCAAGTCACTCAGTTTTAGTTCCACGCGTCCCACAAACATTTTCTTACCTTTCAAGGCTGTTTAAAACACCCTAAAACCGAATTGTCCTGACCCACACGTCTATTTTTTCACGTTGCTGAGCCTTCGGAAAGTTTTAAAATTTTTCTTTACGAACCCTAAAAAACCTAGGATTATGGCCCTTGGGATCGATTTGCTAGGGATCCTAGGACTTTTTCTTTCATTATTGCGTTTTGTCATTCGATCTATTAAGAGTCCCATGTCTAGTATCATTTTTACCTCCCAATAATACACCTTATTTTCTAGGGCGCCCAGTCCTTCGGCCACCCCCTGATTCGAATGGAAACTGTGGACCAGCGGAAGTTGACCGTCGGGGATTGGCTATGTGCGATAGTTGGGATCCCGGCGGAAAAAGCCGTAGTGGCTGGGAAAATCCTGATCGATCGTGGATACGATAGCGTCGAGCATATGGTATGTAAAAGCTCAAACTGACACACTCTCTTAAAAAATATCTTCAAACCAAGGCCAATTTTAGAAACTCTCGATCAACAAACGTAACATTGAGGACACCGGAATTGATAAGCGCCTTCATGCTCCGCTGCTGAAATACCTGAAGCATATGCCGGAACCGGAACACTTTGCGAGTAAGTTCAGGAGAGAGAGAGAGAGAGAGAGAGAGAGAGAGAGAGAGCGAGATATCCAGAAAGAGAGAGATAGATAAAGAACCAGCGAGGGACCAAAGATTTTCGTTTCAGACTCCTTCGAGTACGTCTCGGATTGGCTGCCCCGTCTCGGTATGACGGACTTCATCGGCACCTTTATCGCTGAAGGATTGAAGAAGGTGCTGATCGTCAAGTGCGCCGACTTGACCGAGGAGAAACTCAAGGTACTAATTTGGTCGAATACCTTTCATACCTAATTTTAGAACATGGGCATCTCCAAACCCGGCCACTTTAACCGAATCCTGGGAGCCCTGGAGTATGCCAGGCTCGAGGAAGCCCTCGGAGTGGCGGCTAGGAGGAAGCAGATGCGCAAGAAGGAGACGATGACTCCACCGTAAGTTGGAGTGTCTCGCATTAAGACTTTAACTCTCCCACGGCTCCTAGGCGTTTTAAAAATCCCTAAAATTGTAGTGAGAGCCCACCGCTCTACCCGCCGATGCATCACTCGCAGATCTACACGTTCAGCGCTCATTACCTGGGCTCTGATCGTATTGAAAGTATCTACTCGGAGGACGAGTGCATTAATGTCATCAAAAAGTTGAAGGTATGGAGCTTGAAGCATTTATCTCGGCCCTATCTCTTTCTTTCTCTCTCGCGCTTTTGCCCCCCTCTCTCTCTCCTTCTCTCTCTCTTTCTCTTTCTCTCTCCCAATCTCACTCATTTCAATCTCAAAATTACCATTTCAGAAGCAAATCAATTCCATCGTCAAGACTACCCCCGTACAAGTGGAAATCTCGATCTATGGAGTCATGGTAAGCATAAAAAGCTAAAAAATATACGAAGGTTTAGATCTTCAACACTGAGCATCAGAAGACACTGCTCCAGAGCTACCAGCTTGATGACATTGGCTGCATGACCAACGATATGAATGACCGGAACTGTCTCGGTTTCACCGTCCAGGACAAGCATCAGTCGATGGCCCACGTTTTTGCTGCGATCACTGCTGTAAGTTCTGCGAATTAGACACACCTGAGTAGCTGGCAGAGATGCGTTAGCACTCAGACTAGGAGGTGGGCAGCTAGCAGCCTACTTTGAGAGGGTTCACTGGGAAGCTAGCAGATATTCTTTGGGAATCAGCCCAGATGCGATGGAAGATTGGAAAATTCATCTTCTGGAACTGGGAACTTGCAGAGACTCTGGATGATGACAGTTTTTACGTTTTGCACCTTCCAAGGTTCTATTTTTTACAGGAAATCGCCAAGAACATCATCGACGCCCTCGGCGACGTCTTTAAAATCCAAGAAACCCGGCAGCAACCCTGTCCCTACTACGGCCAAGGCGCCCAGGTGGCCCACGAGAGCGTCAAGTTCAGACACATCTAATTCGCCAATTTTGTGATTTACCAATATTTCTTTAACTTACAACTTCCTATGCACACGTCATTTTGCGTTGCCAGTCACTGTCTCGCCAGTCAAAATCAATTCTCAACATTTTTCCCTACTTTCATTTCTCGAAATTGCTCTTCCTCCCCTCCAAAAACACCCCCCGAAATCCAAAGATTGCCCCAAAATGTTTTGTTTTGCATTTGAAATGTTTTTTGTGAGATCGTCTCCAAAGACGCAGGCAAATTCTCGCCCCGCTACCGGTAAACCCCCTAAAGTTCGTTTGAATATTGAATTTTGAATTTTACAAAATTCTATTGGTGTTCTTGGATTATTTTGGTACTCATATCTTTTTGAAAATTTTGCGTACGATTTTATCTGTTTTTCTACTTAAATCTCTCTCTCTCTCTCTCTTTCTTTCTCTCTCTCTCTCCCTCTCTCTCTCTCTCTTTCTCGCGCTCCCTCTTGCTCTTCCTCTCTGCTCTATCGCCAGCCCTTGTGAATTCGCATCGCGGTACTATTTTCCCCTGGACATAATAAATCTTTATTTTCGTCGTAAATCAGTGGAAATCACAGCGTTATCAGTACAGATTCGGAGTCACCTAGGGGCCAGGCATTGATTGGAGGCCATCAGACGAATCTTATCAACGGACCGGGCGTCACAGCTGAAACTTCGATTCCGGTTTATGAAGCGCTTTTTATTGGTCATTTCGTTATTATGGCCCCTGGTGGCTGCTGTGGAGGTAGAGAGATTTATTGTTGATGTAAAAAAGCGTGTAAAATGTTGGTTGTTAGTTTTGTCACTCACTGACTTAGAAAACTGTGAATCCGCGCACAAAACAAGTTTTTGTCAAATTTTAAGTCTTTCTCAGGTATGGTCTGCATCAAATTTTCCGTACTTATCTAGCAGTAAAAATGATTTTCGAATTTTTATACTTCACGAAAATTTCAAAAATCTAAAAAGCCAAAATAACCATATTTTTCGATTTTTTTAGGTAGACTCGGGCAATGTACAGCTCTCTAGCGGCTTTTTTTCCTTCCAGAAACTACCGCTCCATCGACGCGATGTGTATTCCGATCCGGAAAAGCGCTCCATCGACCCGTCGCTCTTTGAAACTATTCAAATTGTGCCTCAAGTCTCTGGGCTCCGAATAGAAAATATAGCCAATCAGGAGCCAGCCTTCATTGGATATACGTGAGCTTAATCCATGTTTATAAAATACAGCAATTCAGTCCTTTCGGCGAGACAATTGTCGAAAACGACGTCAAGGCACGGGTCGTGATTTTTGGGTACTGGTTGGAGAAGGTATATTTAATTAATTGCTCTAGTTTAGCATTTTTAAGCTATTTTGTCCATCTTGCCTGAAAAAGCGTGGAAAACTGCCTCTTATACGTTTAGCTCTTACATTACACACACAGAAACTTTTTTGAAGCTATGAAAAGCCTAAAAATCCAAAAATCGCATAGAACATAAACTTTCTACTCAAAATTGCTCCTTTTCAGGTAGAATACATCACGTTCACCGATTCGAACTGCTATACCTCCGAATTCAACATCAGCAACAAGGATTTTGAGCTCCAAATCGAGCGGAGAATCGAGTTGCAGTGGCGATTCCCGGAGTGGGTGGACCTGGGGAGCGTGGGGCTGGGAAGGGGCGGGGCTGAGGCGGGCAGTCCTTGAGCCCCCCTGGGAGGTCTCGCTCTCGGCCCATGTAGTATAGTGGTTAGTACTCCACGTTGTGGCCGTGGCGACGGTGGTTCGATTCCACCCATGGGCAACTCTTTTTGCTTTTTGGGGATTGGTTACAGAAGGGGCATTCGGAGGTTGTAGTGAGCGTCATTTTGTGGTTTTGATTTCATGGCTCTTATTTTATAGAAACAAACACCAATGGCGCATGTGTGTGAAGCAAAAAGGACCGACTGGAGAGTTGTTAATGGTATGACCCTTCTTATTTCTGGTTAGCTATTTTTTTACGTTTAGGTCGAAGGAATCCACACCTATATCACCACCAGGGTCACTCCGAAAGAATACATAATGCCGTTCTACCTTCAATGCTCAGTCTTGGCCTTTTTGCTCTCGATGTCGGCTCTGTTTTCCGGGCTGAATTTGGGGTTGATGAGCCTGTCGATCAATGAGTTGCAATTGATCATGAAATGCGGTAATTAAGATAGATTCATGCATTGAATCGAACCGTTAAATATAGTATTAAATACATACCTTTGTGCTTGCAATTTCAAACCCTAGACTTCAGGCTCCCGCAGCGAACAAAAATACGCCAAGGCGATTCTTCCGATTCGAAGGAGGGGCAACCAATTGTTGTGTACGATTTTGTTAATGAACGTCGTGGTAAATTGCTTGTTAAGCATCTATGATAGATACCTATAATTACAGGTAAATGCTTCAATTTCGATTCTATTCGAAGATATGACTTCTGGAACGATCGCGTTTATCGTTTCCTCGGCTGGAATCGTAGTTTTTGGGGAAATTTGTCCTCAAAGTATCTGTGTGAAGTAAGTTTTGAAACACATAGAGATTTTGGCTCCAGTAGCTCTTTAAGCCGATATTCAGAGGTCCTAATAGAACGTAAAAACGCCGATACAAGAATCGTTTTTTTTCAGAAAAGGCCTCGCCGTGGGTGCTCGTACACTCTTCCTCACCAAATTCTTCATGGCCCTCACCTACCCACTTGCTTTCCCTATTAGCAAGATTTTGGACTGGCTGGTTGGGGTGGACGTGGATAAATTCGATCGGAATCGGCTGCTGGAGATTATGAAAATGGGCAGCGGCAGGGAAGGGGTGAGTAGAAGCAGAAATTTGAAAAACAAGGGACCTGAAAAGCATGAAACTTTCTCGATTCCGATGTAAAAAGTTTGCCCAAGGTTTGTAAAGGATTTTTTTAAAGCTAGCCGGTTTGAAATCTTTTTAAATCGGCTCTTCTAGGATCCGGAAAACTTGAAAATCGCCATCGGAGCCTTGGAGCTGGCCAGCAAGTCGGTGATGGATGTTATGACAAAGATAGAAGATACCTATATGCTGCCAAGTAATACCGTCGTGAACCCGGCTACCATTGCCGAAATTGCACAAAAGGGCTATTCCAGAATCCCGATTTTTGATGGCGGTGATAGAAATAATGTGAGTTTAGCGCCAGAGCTTAACCCACTGGACGCGACTATGCATCAGATCGCGTAAATCTGCTTTAGATCGTATCTCTGCTCTACGTGAAGGAATTGGCACTGGTCAACAAAAACGCAAACATTACCGTAGGGACGGTGGGGAACCGAGCTCGGCTCCGATTCGTCGACGAGAATCACCCGTTGACAGAGATGTTAGAGGAGTTCAAGAAGGTTGGTGATCTCTCTCTCTCTCGCACTCTCTTTCTCTCTCTTTCTGGCCTTTGATACATCCTCTACAATTCAGGGGAGAATACCACATGGCGATAATTCGACGTGGATCGGACGATGATGAACACTTTTACCAAGCTACCTTGGATTCACTGTCAAACGTAGGGATATAAAATTTAGGTTACGTCCAAAATTAAGGCATCGGCAAGCGAAAAATAGAGATAAAATGACTTTTAGGGCGATATTGAATTGTCTGAACTTTCGCCGTCCAGAGAAATCTTGGGTGTTATCACACTCGAAGATATTGTTGAAGAGATTTTACAGGTAGGATGGTCTCAAGTAAAAATTTTAGTGAAATTTGCCAGGCCGAAATCATGGACGAGAGCGACCAGGTGACGGACAACGTCCAAAGGCACCGGAGGTTCGCCAAAAATAGCCTGGACTTGCACAAGCTCCTCGGCAAGGAAAAACAGGCTGAGCCGTTGTCTATCCATACAAAGGTTTGTGGCGTAAATTATGAATTTGTCATCGATTTTCTCCATTTTAAAGGTGATGGAAAGTCAGAAAGTCGGAATTCTACTAGAAGTCTTTTTTTAGAGTGTGCTCTGCCGATATCTTCGCGATCAGCACCCGATTTTCGGCCCGGAATTCATGGAGCCCAGAGGACTTGAGCATCTGATCGGAACAAATGTTAGGGTGGTGAGTGCCTTTAAGCCTAGCTTAAGCCTAGTCTAAGCCTAGACTAAGCCCGAGCCTAAATGAAGCCTAAGCCTGAGTTTTCAGATTTACATCGCCAACGAGAGCCAACCGATCCCGATCTATGAATACGGGGTGACGAGCAAGAGAGCTGTTGTAATCCTCGAGGGCTCGGCCACGGTGTTTTTCCCGAAGGTAAGGAACTGCACCAAACTTGACTTCTTAAGTCGAGAGGTCTCGACAATTCTGCTCCACTTCAAATAACGCATGCTAGACACAATACACTATAATTCTGAGGGCTGGAAAATTTTGGTTTCTGCCCGGGCCTAGTTGCTGTGAATACCAACTAAAAGAAAGGGTTCAATCTGATATCCTTTAAACCGTATACCGAATAATATATCCTAATCGATTTCGCCTCGTCATCCCGTGATTTAATAAACGCTTTTCCAGTCCAAAATGACCCTACAAGCCGGCTCATGGATTTCATTGGGCGAAGTCTTATTCCAGAAGCTGCAGGCCGGCATTGCCCAGTCCCCTCAAGGTTACTAATCCTTAAACCTCAAATTCTTTAAGTCTAGACGCTCAATTCAACCTCTCCTTCGTCCCTGACTTCACAGTTACTGTCGAAAAGTACTGCAAATTTGTGCAGCTCCCCGTCCCATCAGTATGGCATAAGCTAAAGATTTCGAATGTCGTCAGGTCCATGAGGTAAATGAAGTACTTTTGTACCACGATACCTCATCAAATGTAAAATTATTTTATTCCTTATCTACGCTTCTTTTGATTTTTTAGGAAAAGAAAATATTTACAGAACAAACTCCAATCCCTCCTCGAGATCCCCATCAATTTCCGAGAAAAATCGGAGGATTGTACGCTTCCAAGATGACGTAAGTCTCAAAATTTACGAGCTAGATAAAACAGTGTTTTGCTTTTTGGAGTGAAATAAGTCCGACCCAACTACCAAACCATAAAAATTATTTTTAGGAAGGAGTAGCCGGCCGTAGCGGCTCGTTAAACGGGGATCAAACGCTGCACGTAGGCGACCGAAATCGAAGCGCAAGTTTGCGGCCGGAAATGTGATTTTTGGAGCGGAACCTCTGATAGAATAAAGTTTATATTTTTATCTCGAGCTTGAGTTGCATCTTCTGACTCGTTAGAAAAATTCTTTATCGCGAATATTTTACCGTGAAAACGACAAGAAGCTAAAGACGAATGGATTTATGCCTTGCAGATCCCTTTAAAGTTTAAGCCTATACCTTGACCCCCAATCTGACCCATGCCCTTTCGACCGTCCGATTCCGGCCCGGGTGCCCTGTTGCCTTTTCAGCCCCCTACAGGCTTTATCAGGACGGTTCCCCCCCTCAAGATTTCACCGAGCGTGGTGTGACCTAAAAATGTGCACCAAATGGCGTGACACACGGACACGCGACCCCCCGGATTCAAATGATTAGTGCATTTTAGCTCAGAAAACTAGATATGACTAACTTTAAAAACTGATTTACAGCTAGTTTGTCTCTTTTCCTTTTTCTGGTTTTAAGCAATCTCTGCTAGCTTCCCTATCCCATGTGCCCCTAGGCATTGTCCACGCTTTCCCAACAACGCTCCCAAGCGCCCCATTTGTTAAGCGTCCCCTGGGCCGACCTATGCCCTCGAGTATTTGCCGTCCCAATTTTTTCCTCCTCCCTCGCCAGACTTCCAGGTCTCGACCCCCGGCAGCTGACCGTCACCCCGAAAAAGCGGAAAAGGATTTGGCGCCGGCGCCCCGGCCAAAATCGGCCCATTTTTCAGGGCGAGGCAACATTTTTTGGGCGATCGAAAATTGAACTGTCGAACGCCATAGGCAATATATTTAAATGCATAGAAACATATTCCTTTTATTATTCCACTGTCGATTTCATTTTTTATTACGATCAGCGAGCTATTTTTGGCATTTTCCTCGTGAAAACTTCTTTTCGAACTTTAAAATTCCTTCGGACATTTTGTGTAGCTTCAGTTTGTATACAGTGTTTATTTTTTGTAAAAGTTTGATTTATTGTGCTATTTTGTGCCTTTTTGATGACTTTTCTCGCCAAATCCCCTTGTTTTGCTGTACTTTTGATGACTTTCCGAGGGTTGGCAATGTTCCAAAGATGGCATGGGATCAGTGGCCTCGATTAGTGATAGTTTTACATCTGTTTTTTTTGCTTTTCCTTTCCATAAAATGAAGTCTTATTTAAAGACAAGCTAAAATTCCCTTTTTTACCGGATGTTGACGATTAGGTTGCAAAATTTGCTAAAAAAGATTATCAGAGCATCAAGCTTTGATTATCAGCTTCAAAAACGCTTAAAAGATTAATTTAAGTGTGGCAAAACCATCTTTGAATTTTACAAGAAAAACCGTTAACTGTTTGGTCTAGGAAAAGTCAAACTCCTCAGAAAAAAGCCAAAAACCAACAAAACCACGTTATTTACGTAGTGACTCAAGCCACACCATGGCATTTCAAACGTGTCGAGGTTGTGAAAATCAATGTCATGCGATGGTTTCCGTGTCTGACCTCGCGCCATCGCCCAATTTTTTGGTTCGCTTTGTGACTCTCTTTCGGGGAATTCGACTAAACAAACACAAGGGCAAAGCGGGCAGTGGCATGAATCGAGGGAAAGAGGCACGATGGCAGGCTTTTGGCGCCTGGCCAGGTTTTTCAGGGTGATAACATCCTAAAAATGGCAAATTTTGATAGAGCAGGCTCGGCTATTAAACGATCTATATTTTATCAATAGTTCTATCTGACGAAAAATTCAAAGGATGCTGCATTTTCCATCTATTTATATTTTTGCCGTTTTCTATTATCTCCTTTTCCTTTTTTTCTTGAATTCCGTAATTTTTCTGGTTTTTCGACTATATTTAAAATTGTCCAAAATGCGGAATATCAGAATTTTACGATTTTCTTATTTTTTACTTTTTTACTTTCTTACTTTTTTTTACTCCATGCTTGCTGTTTCACGCTCCCGGCGCAAACTCCGGAAATTAAGCAGCTTGTTGCCGTGTGACCGGAAATCAGCAACTAGCAAGCTTCTCCTCGGTTTCCATGCCCAAAATTTGCCCTTATTTTTCTCGCTCTAGATCTTGTGCTACCTTAAGAATTAATTTTCCTCAACATTTCTCTCTCTCTTTTTTTTTTTCTCTCTCTCTCTTTCTCTGTCTCTCTCGCTAAAGGCCCGCCACAAAGCACGAGCATTTCCTGTGTGTCTCCACTAGCAAAACGAGGTCGTTGTCTCGGGCGGGGTCGGAAGGGCAATCGAATGGCATGATCGCCAGGCTGCTGTTTCTCTGGCAGCACGTTAACGACTAGTTTACGCTCTTTTTCTTTGGGTGTTGGTGTCGAAACAAGTACTATTAGTGCGCGAACACATTGTTCAACTTTCAAGTTTTACGTGATATTTCGTCCAGAATTTTTTTCTGGCTTTTGATTTTTCGAATCCGGGAAGCGAAGACCGCTTATATGACTAATAAGTTCAAATTATATGAATGCAAGCTTTATTTACCTAATTTACTATTTACTATTGTAATTTTTGCGTATTGAACAAGGACTGGTTTCTCTGTCCCTTAACACCCAAAATCTACAAATTTTTCTGATTCCAAACACTCCAAGTTTGATCTTGGTGCATAGGGGCGTTTTTAGCCTTTTCCTTGACTTTAGCTTTTTGCGCCTTTTTCCACTTCTACAGATCTCGAGATTTTTTTAGATCCGGCTGAAATTTGCATACAAACCTAAGACTACAAAATCGTACCAACTAGTTGAAATCATTAAAACAACCCGATTACCCATTGTCCAACCTTCTCACCCACCTTCTCAAGATCTCAAAAATATTTGCACGCGCCAAGGCCGAAGCCAAAACAAAATCGATCCATTGTGTTCCGGGCGCAGCAGCCAACCAGCCGTGTCTAGCCCTCCGCACGTGTTTTCTCAAGGGCGTGAGAGAGGTGGATAGGGAGATATAGATAGATGGATGCACCCCGGGCATCAAAAACTACAGCGATAGAGAGCGAGAAAGAGAAAGAGAGGGAGAGAGAGGGAGGTAGAGAGAAAGAGCAAGAGTGAGAGAGAGCGTGTGAGAGCAAATCGTACCCTTTTTCCGTCTTGTCAACGACACCCCGTGTGTGTGGTAGCGGCCTGTACGCACCAGCTGGTGGCCTCGGGGGTGATATCAGTCGTTCCGGGGAGCAGGAATAGTGCTGGCAAGGAATAATACGAGACTAGAGAATGTTTTTTGCTCAGGATTATACCTTTTTCATATAATTTCGAAACTTTTAACGTATTGGATTTTTTCTGATTCATAAATCCCGTCTTTTTGACTGGCGTTGGCCATCCACCTACTTTTCAGGTACCTATCAAGGTCCTGAAAAATTGTGCTTTAAATGGTTCCATTTAGACCATTTCACTAAGGTTTTTTGCGGATTTTTGTAGACATTTTCAAGCGCAGTTCAAGCCGACTTTTAAAAGGCCATTACCTAATCTAAAGATACACGAATAATGCTCACCGATTTCTTCTATTTATTAAGTCACTTTTTATTAAACAAAATACCCAGAAAGACTACAGTCTCTAGCCCGATCATATCGGCTTATCACTGAACCACAGCCGTCACCAGCCGTCCCAGCGTTTTCCCGCTTTTTCGGGTTTCGAGATTTCAGTCGCGTGATTTTATTTTGACCCCGGGTTGAACTTACTGCTTTCAGAAGCCAAATGAACCTAAAAAATTAGCTACTTTACAGCCTTTTATTGTTGATATTTCAATTTAATTTAATTTGGGAATTTGATTTGTGAATTTTTGCAGATCGCGTTTTTATATCCCTTTTTTTCTAGTGATTTTGCTCCTAAAAAATGAAAGTGACATTTTTTCCAGATGGCCGATCGAATATGGGAATCGTACCTGATTTCCGATTGCATAGTCCCGAAAGAGCAGATGAAGCGGCTGGGAGAGCATAAATATTCGGCAGTTGATACTTCATGGCTTGATGAATTGTGTATGAAAAAGTGAGTTTTGCACCTACATTAATCGCGTATTTGAGCCACTTCCAGCTTGGCAAATCTTACAAAAAAAATAAATTCAGCTTTAAAGAGCCTTGTGCCTTTTACAATAAGCTTTTCAGATTCTGGGACAAAGTCGTCACATTCTGCCCGATGTGGGTGGCCCCAAATTTGATCACGCTCGTCGGGTTGATCATCAATTTATGTACAGTACTCGTTTTGTCTTTCTACTGCCCAACGGCGACGGAGTCGGTGAGTTTTGGATCTCTCTCGCGCTCTCTCGCTTCCCTCACCATCTCTCTCTGTCTTTCCCCCTCTCTCTCCCCCTCTCTCTAGCTTTCCCATGCTCTCTCTCCCACTAAATTACCATATTTCTAGGCCCCATCCTGGGTGTACTTCCAAGCCGCCCTCGGGCTGTTTTTGTATCAGGTTGGTACATACTTTAATTTCCGGGGTCGGAGATGCGCTTTTTGACAGGCTTCTGGAAGCGGAAGCCGCCTGATTTCGACCCTTTTTCTAACGGCTAAACTTGCAGACCCTCGACGCCATCGACGGGAAGCAAGCTAGAAGAACGGGTAGTTCGTCTCCGCTTGGCGAGCTTTTTGACCACGGGTGCGATTCAGCATCTCAGGGTACGTTTTTGAAGGTCGAGACGACAAAATTAATGCCTTTTTTTAGTGTTCGTCACGCTCAACATTTGCTACGCGATGACGCTGGGTGCCGTCCCTAATGGTGTCTTTGCCATTTCGGTGGTCTCGATCATCATGTTCTACGCGGCGCACTGGAGCACTTATTGTACAGGGCAGCTTCGCTTTTCAAAGTCAGTAGTGTCGGTCTTGACGCCCCAGCTTTCCTTCCTGTCGCCATCCCTTTAGACCCACCGTTCTGGAAATCAGCGAGCAAATTTAATTTTTGTAGATTCGACGTCACCGAAGCCCAATGGATGGTGATCTCGGTCCTCGTCTTTACTGGGATTTTTGGAGCCGGAACCTGGTCTGCGAATATTGTAAGCTTACTTTGCGATGTGCTTGCTTTGCTTATCGTGTTTTTCTAGATCTTCGGACTGCAACTCCGATACCTTGTCGTTGGCGGCTCCTTGATAATGTCAATCGTACAAATCGGAGGCTATGCCAAGACGATTCTTGGTGGAGGTGTTGGGAAGAATGGGAGTACGGTGGCGGTGAGTTTTGAAAAAAATTCGGAGGACTCTTGGCAACACAGATTCCTCGAAAACTTGAAGTAGATACTCTAGATTGTTAGTGATAGTATAAGTCTTCGAGAGATCAATGTTCTGAACAACGACCAGTTTTGAAAACGATGCGCCTGTTTTTAGGGAACCTCCGTCCTTTTCCCACTTCTACCACTTCTGATGGTACTACTGCCATTTGCTATGATTTACAGGTTAGCATAAGTCGAAGTTGTCCAATTTCTAATCTTATTTAGCAAAGCCACCACTTCCGTCTACGACGTGCATGTAACGCTGTTTATTTTGTGCTTTGGAGCTGTTGGTAAGTTCAGAATTTTAGGCATAGAGAGAAAGAGAGAGAAAGGGGGGGGGGGGGAGGGGAGGAACAGACGGGGGGGGGGGGGGGAGAGGGGAGAGAGGGAGAGAAGAGGTGAAGAAGGGAATGTTCGTAAGAAATCATTTTCAGGTTCTAAAACCACAAACCGACTTGTCATCGCCCATATGTCGAAAAGCGAACTTCCGCTTTGGGATTGGGCCTACTTGGCACCAATCGCCATGATTCTGAACCAGTATTATGACTGCCCGATCAACGAGTACCATCTGCTCGTTGTGGCTACAGTGAGCTACATTTTCCGGAAAATTTGCCAAAACGTGACCTTTGGGCCGTTGCCCCGATGGCTCAATAGAACTTTTGTGCTCTTAATTTAATCATCCCAAAATAAGCCCCAAACCCTTTTTTGGGTTGGGGGGTAAAAGAGGTGGTTTTGATTTTTTTTTCCTGAGGATGATCACCCTCCTCCTTTCATCACCATCACGCTCGCAACTTTCCACAACCATCAAAATATTTTTCCTAGCAAATCCACAACTTTCTCCCCGTAGCGCTTACCCTCATTAGAATATACGTGGAACACGGAAAACACCGAATACGCATTGACTTCTTCTCTAGGCACCAGAACTTGTTTTTGGTGGGCCCAAGAGGGGGCGCAATTTGTTGTTTCGTTTGGGCACAGTGTTTGATCTCCCAGTTCTAACCATTTTTTTCAAAGATGATTGAGGAACTAAATAATTGAGACAAAATTTTGTCCATGGAATTAGTCCACCAAGTTTTGCAATTGGTTCATCAAGATCACAAGAAATTCGTCAAGATCCACAACAAAGTGTTTAAATTGTTCACTAAATTACCTTTTAATTAATTTTTTTAGATCTACGTCCACATCTCGTTGGCCATCTTCTGTACATATGTGACGCGGCAATTTTGCCATCATTTGAACATCTACTGCTTCAAGCTGGGCCCGAGGGCATCTACCGGCAGAAAGCAGCAATGACTAGAAGTGGGTCCGCTTCAAGAATTATGAAAAAGTGATAAGTAAGCTTAAGCCTAAGCCCCCCGCGCGGGCCTAAGCTCTTGAGCCCAAGGGCACCCGAACCGAAGCCCCAAACCCAACCAAGATTAAAGCCAGCTTGTTAAGCTTGAGCCCGACCCTCCGCTCCAGCCCCCGCCCCCGAGCCCGAGTGAAAGCGCGGACAATAACCAACAAATCTTTATAAAACCTAAATATAATCCTATCTGTGAGCTGTGATTTTGAGATTTTCATAATTTACAGGTTTTTGCTCGTCTTAGAAAATATTTACCTATAAAAAATTCTACGCTACACTCCTCATTACAAAACAACTTCCCGTCATTTTATTATCACTCATTAGACCCTCAAACTCCCAAGTCCGCATCCAGCCAGGCCACCTTCCCACTTTCCCCCTTGCTACTCTAGCATTTTCTCCACCTGCCCACATCGGCCCAAAAATAAATTTGTCGTCTGTGATGCGGATCATCCCGGGAATGGCAAGGCAAAGCCAATCACCCCTAATGTCACGGGGGCACAGGTGGAAATGCTAGGGGAAGCCGGCGGGCTCAAATTGGATGTGGCGAAGGCTGCATGTCTAACGCAAAAGCTAGGCGTACTAGGAAAATAATAATGAGCTTTTGAATCGTAAATCGAGGTTCAACGCGTCTTAAAAAATACGAAGGAACCATGAAGCTTTGTAGTTTATGTGTTTTTGAAAAATATCGTACTGTGAGGAAGTCAAATCACGAGTACCTGATTTATTTATTTCGCATTATCGGGGGGGATACACTTTTTTCTAAGAACCTAATTTTTCCAATATAAACATGGAACTGTTCCGATGTTTTGACTATAAAAGAATTTTAAAAGTTTGGGTAAATTTTAATGTTACCTTTAAAAGGCCAAATTTGACAAGACTGATTAAAATCAGTAAGGGCCCCAATTAGGATATTTTAAAGCCGCTATCTTTTCCAGGTAGTAGAGGAAGCCACCGAATCATCTGAAGCGGAGGAAGTAGTCGATGACGAAGCTCCCCTAGTCACCGTCGTCCCCGCTGTTGATTCCAAGCTCATAGAAATTGTGTAGTTGTTTTTTAGCTCTTTTGTAATCTTTTTAATTTCGATTTTTACTGGTATCGAGCCGTTTTTTTGCTTCCCCGTCCCCTACGCCACGCAGGGTCCAAAATGACAGTGATTTTGTGATTTTTTTTAGAAATTTGCCTTACATCGGACAATTGTACCCTATCCTCGCTTGGCGATTTTTCGATGTTTTTTCGATATTTGATTATGGGTGCCTGTAAATAATAAAATTCTATGTAAAAATGGAAGACAACGAAGCATCTTCTAAACTACGACTCACCTTAAAAGGACAAATCTTTTCCCTCAGAGAATCAGAGAAGCCAAAAACCATAATTTCGCTATTCGTCACACAATTTTTTTTGAATAATTGCTACAGTAGAAATCCATGTGAAAAACCGTCAATTAAAGCAAAATACACAAATCGAAGGACCTTGAGGTTTGCAGCGCTAATTGTAATTTTTTTACTCGCAATTTTGCACCTCTCGGGGGACAATGTCTCGTTGTGTTTCCTCCCATACATCGTTAGCCGACTTTCTGTGTTTTCAGTGTACGGAAAAACAAGAAGGGGTCAGGGTACTCGGTCCGAGCTGCAAAGATGCAAATTTGACATCAGAGAGCTTTCTAGCAAAAATTAGAACTACTAAAATAGGAAAAAAGTTTCAGAAAGTATGAAATCCTTCTTCTTCCTTTAGCCTCTTGCTGCTGTATTTGTCTGCCTAGGATTTATTCTAACGTTGAAATGTCGCCTAAAATTACTTTAAAAAAATTTCTTGACGTCAAGGAATTGTGGATTTTGTCTCCCAGTCCATACCCCCTCAAACTGCAGCACCTCGCAAGGAGGTGCTCCCAAAAATTAGCCAGGGCCATACCAATGCCACGGCACCCCGACCGCATTCCATCTGCCAATAGGAAGTGATCGGTAGGAAGTTTTGTTAGTTCATACAAAAATCTCACTGATGCCTCATATGGAAATGGGAGTGGACCAGGTTGGGCGCGGTGCGGGGAAGGGCCCCTGGAGATTGGGGTCACAGATGGTTCGGAAAATGTCCGATCTGCCTCAAGTTTACGCACTAATGAAAGGTCTATCAAAATTCGTATTTGCAGATATAGAAACTGGTGTCTGACATGATTTTGGAATCAGTTTTCCATAGGGGCAGCTCATAAAATTGCAAGTTTTTTGGCACCTACCGTAGCCTCATGAGATACCGTACCTGCCGAAAATCCGCTAAAATGTGTTTGTGTTTTGTGTTAACTTATATTCAAAAGCTAAACTTTCAATATAGCAAATTTAACTGCTTGACAGTCAGTTCCAACACCCCAAAATTTACTAAAAAGTACGATTTCAGGCCGAATCACGATGGCGGTTCCCCAAAAAGCCTCATGAACCCGGAACTTGCTCAATTCCGCCGTCGTACAGTAGATGAACACTTTTCCCAACAGCTGATTGCTTTTGCTTTTTAAGGCGAAGGAACTTTTATCCAAGAAGCCTGAAAAATGGAGTGCAAGACCCGGGGTGGTGGGCGTGGCTTTCTCATGGGGTGGGGGTGGCCCCTAGATGGGCCCTAGTTGGGCGACTACTTGCCACTACTTCTTCCGGTCCCCCACGACTCCCTCGTCAAGATGAACACCCTTGTATTGTCGACAGTATTCGCTATTTTGTTTGTATCTTTGGTGAGTCTAGAGTTGCTAGAAATGAGCCTTACGGCCCCGGGAATCTCATACCTACCGTAACCCGTTCGGGACCTTGCTTATGACTTTTGTCAGGTTTTTTGCAGTTTTAAAAAAGTTTTTCTTTATTTTTTGAGAGAATTAGTCTGAATTTTCTCAAAAACTTCAATTTGAGATATAGAGGCTCTTAAAATTGACAAGTTAAAGGGCCCGTGCCTCAAAAAACCTTTTTCCCTGGTATGAATGAGAAGTTTCTAAGTACATTAAAAACATAAAACTAGGTAAGCAGGTTAATCCTTCCTTGTTTAATAATTCCTGTCGCTTTCCCTTTAAAACCCGGATAGTTATTCTCGTCCCAGAAGCGCCACACTTCGAGTACACCCCGAATTATTCAGAGCGAACACTCCAGGGGCGTCCAGGAATTCCGGGAAACAGCGTCTCATCTTGTCTAATTGGTCCCGTGAACCAGATGCTAATTATTAATTGCCCAAAAATATACGAGCAGCCAGTTTCTAAGGTCATTCATTAAATTAGGATTCGACTTGGACGTCCACGGAAAAACAAGCAATTAAGTTTCTGAATCATGAATAAAAAATTGTTGCGGAGATCTGGTTTCGGAGTTTGGTCCAAATTAATTAAAAAATGTAATCGAACGGATTTTAAACCTCAACTTTTGCATTCTAATATATTTAAAAAGAGCTAAAAGGAGTGCCTGGGTTATCGGCAATCCTCGAGACCTAGCTCATTCGATAGAGAATTCAATTCTGAACAACCTCTCGGCGTCCATTTTTGCAGAATGGCTTTTCCTGATTTTATAAAATTAAAAAACTAGAATGCGCAAATCCCATAGTTCCTCGGTTGCTGTCGCCAGACAGGCGCTGAGCGGCCCTAGGTGAAGAGCCAACGGGTGTCGCCGATGCAGCGGTCACGCATCTGCTACGAAGTTTCTTTGCCTTTGGTTGAAGGTTCGGTTCTTATGCGTGTTTCCTTTGCGTTTGAGCCTTGATGATATTTCCACAGCTTTTAGGCATTTCTGGGTCATGGTGGAGGCATTAACAACGTTTCCACGTTGGGCTAGGAGAAGAAATCAGGACATTTCTCTGGGACTGTGAAGGCCAATTTCAATTATTCTGATTCTAAAAACGCTCTGAAAGTCACAAAAGTGTTTTTACAAAACAAGAAGCAAAAGTAATTACCAATAATGGAATCGAACTAGCAACCCGAAGCAAAAAAGTTTGGAAGACCGACGCTCTAGCCACTGCGCCACGTCTAGCGCTGGTAGGAAGGCACCGGAGGGCCTCTTCCCCTTGGGGGCTGGCTAGGGGCAGCAACGTGCCGACGTGGACGCATAAATCCTCTTTTTAGTTTTTTAATTATATAAAATCAAAGAAAGGCATTCTGCAAAAATGGACGCCGAGAGGTTGTTCAGAATTGAATTCTCTATCGAATGGGTTAGGTCTCGAAGGGATTTGCCGATGACACTCAAAAGGCACTCCTTGTAAGGCCCGAAACGCCGCCTCTGAACAAAATTCATTTTTTCAGGCCACTGCTGATAGCGAAACCTTCGAGGAATTGGTAAGTTTGTTGATCAATTAATTATGATTTTATTCTCTCTCGCTCTCTCTCACTCTCGCTCACCCTCTCGCTCTCTCTTTCTCCGCTCGCCGTTTCTATGTCTCTCTAGCGCTCTCTCTCTCTTCTATAAGAACTGTTTGCACCTTTCTGGGGCTTCTGATTCACTCCCTTTGAACAATTTTTATTCTATTCAAAAACATGATCCTGGCAATACCACAAATTAATTCTATAATTTGAATCTTCAAATGCTTAATCCCCTGCCCCGCTATAATCCCCCATTTTCAGTTTCAACCCGAAATGCCCAGCATGCGAGCCCGGATAGCGTCGAGCAGCAGGTTTTGGGGGAAACGGTAAGGATTCCAAGCTCGAAATTTGCAGAACCTTGACACTACATGTTCTTTCATCTAATCTCGAATAAAACTTACGAAGAATTACGGGGTTGGCTAGCAAAGATCCTTGAGAAAGCGGAAAGCCCGAAGAATCCATCGTTTTAGTGACACCGCTCGAGCCCGAATCGCCGCATCCCGAATTTTCCGAGGACGACGATCGATGGGAATGGAGGAGGTAATTTTTGTCTATTTTTTAATACAAAATAAGGTATGCAAATCAGCTTATCGGACTTTTCTATACTTCCATGCATCTAAAATTTCGCTTCAAACTGAAATAGCGCCAAAAAAGCTCCCGAAAAACGCTATAGTATAAATGTCAACCGGCTACTTGGTCGACTTTCCAGAGATCCCAAAGGCAAAATTATGCAAATTAAGTGAGCGCGAGGAAAGTGAGCTAGAATTACGAGAGAATGACTTAATTCGCGCCAGGCGGGCGGAGGGCTGAATTCGAATTTTTCGGGTGTTTACAGGGTGCGGAGAAAGTTTTGGGTGGCAGAATTAGATATGTTTTCTCAAACTGCGTGCTCCAACATGGGTTTTTTGAATGGGAGATTAAAAAATGGCGACTTGAGAAAAACTAGGCACCAATAGATCAACAAAATTTTTGAAATTTTCGGGAGCAAATGCACTGAAAGCGTCGCGCTAAAATCACCTTCGGCACGCAGCGCTATTGCTGCTTTTACGGTATGCCCTGTGTAACAGTCTCGACCAAAATTGACGAAATTTGGTCAAGATATTGCCAATCCTATACCCTATCACCCCACAAAATTAGAAAGTATTTGGATCTAAATGCAAATAGTTCTGACGCTTTTAATTCTGAGAAATTCCCCTATCGGCATGGGAAACCGCTGCGAAGCTGGCGAGCTTACAGCCCATAAACCGCGAAGCGCCACATTAATGATAGGTTAGGCATATGAATATTGTAAATCAGGATTTTTGACGTCCAAATTTGGGGAGAAGACATTAAGACAACTCCAGGTTGAGCTTCACGAAAAGTTAAATAGCCGGAAACCGCGACACGCTGCTGATTTTCAACTCAATTGCGCCCAGGATTTAGCCAAGATGATCAAAAAATGTAAGATTTACGCAGGATACTGCTTATTCCCTGTCTTTCATAATCCGAAACCCTGGAAAGCCTGGTGATAGGATCCGAAGCATTATAACCAATATTTCATAGCAGCCAAATGTGTAACTTTGCTGGAGCTTTCGTGTTTCCAAGACGATTCTCATCCGGAAAATAATTTGTCAACTATTATGGTTTTCAGAATCGGATAGAGCACGTCCGAATCTATGTTGACACCACAAAATTAGCGCGGTATGGCTTAGAACCACAATTTTTCGAAATAAAAAGATGCCACCCAAAACTTTTTCCGCACCCTGTAGGTACGCGACAACATTTTAAAAGTAGAAAATAGGAGGAAATATTTTTTTTAAACTCGAAAATTCGCCTTAAGCCTGCCAATTACGGTAGAAAATTCATAAAAACGCAGATTTTGGGAGTTTGCGGGATATTTACCACACAAAAAAAACGAAAAACTCGAGAAAAGCAAACTTTTTCGAACTTTTCCGGGCCTTTCCGGGTCTTTACTCTTTACTTTTTGAACGCTTTCAATTAAGCAACGACCTCCAACTTTTTCCAGACACCAGAAAGCGACGGGGATGCGGCCAATTTGGAGCAACAGCAGCAGCAGCTGTCTTCTGCCGAAGTGCGTTCCTGAGTTCGACTCCCCTTCAGTTTTTCCGGGCTTGGGCTTCCCCCAATTGCAAACTCTTCCCTTTTCGTCGCTACTGCTGTGCATTGTTGTTGAAAAACGAAAATAAACGCTGAAAGGCAAGGAAATTCCGAGAAAATGCAAATGAGCAACTGGATTTTTGTGCATGGTGTGCCGAGTTTTGCTTTTGGGAATTTTGCAGTGATAACAAGAATGCACGGCGGTTTGTGATAATTTGCACTGTCCTGTCTTGGGTCTGTCTGTAAGTCGTTTTTCCATAGAAATCTAGGCTTTGGAAACTTAAAAAAAAACGCTTAATTCGTGGAACACATGCTTAGGCTTGTAACTTTTTCAACATGGAAGCTTTCCAATTTTTATTTTTATTGAAACGAAGGGCATTTGTAACGTGCAAAAAAATATTTTCAGCAGTTCTAGAAGCCTAGAAACTCCATAGCTATGGTCAGTCTTATACAGGGTGTCCATAAAAGCACCCCTCCGGTATTTCGCCGTATTCCATCCGATCGGTCCGAAATTTGGACCAGAGGTGTATCAGACCCTAAATAACCACAATCCTGACTTATAGCCCGCCAGCTACAGTAATCTTCGAGATACAACAAAATAAACTTTATTATCCGTTTTTCATATGGTTTTCGTCGAAATCGACCCTTCGAATATTAAGTGAAAATGAAGCCGAAAGCCTGCTTTACCCCTAGGATATTTTTTCTGATAAAAATTAGTGAAATAACCGTTGATTTCAACATTTTGTGACGCAAAAGTCACCCCCGATATTAAGCGAAATAGGGATTCGCAGCCGGAAGTCGATGCAAATCGATGCAAAGTGCAAAAAGAAGCCGAAAAAACTGTTCAGAACCGCGTAAAAAACAGTATTTTGACGATAACTCGAAAACTACTTAGCGATCGGGCATAGGTCAGGATTGTGGTTATTTAGGATCTGATACACCTCCAGTCCAATTTTGGGGCTGTTGGGAGTAATACGGCGAAATGCCGGAGGGGTGCTTTTTTATGGGACACCCTGTAATTGACGTCTAAAACACGAATTTTGAATTTTTAACTGAATTTTCCAAGTTGCAAAAATTTGAGGAGCGTTGCAAAGAATTTCCATGTAATTTTGAACGTTTAGAAACTTTGTAGTAAAGTTAACAAAATGCCAATGCTAAAAACTCGATTTTTGCGAAAATTTAGCAAAATTGGCCTTACGCTTGAAACGTTTTTCGATTTTGCGATATTGTCATAGTCAACACGTTTTAATTTTCCGGTTTTTCATGGTAGTGTACATGTAGCCAACCTAAAGCCCATATTGAACCTTATGAAAAACGTTAGAACATCGTCTCCGCGAATCCCAAAAAAAACCTGCGCCCATTTTCCAGACGACCACACCCCAATAACGTTCTCCCCGGGGTTGCATTTTTCCGCTTTTACCGGTAATGACGTTCATCCGGGGGGATGTTTAAGAGACCTGATCCGCCAGCAAAACAGAGCAATACGAGACTAACTAAAACCCTTGCAAATTTCCACCTGACCGGATGCGGGGGAAAATTTCGAACCAAATTGCTTCTGGGAAGGGCATTTTCGAGTTAGTAGGCGTCGCGTGGAATTGAATTTTTAAGAAAGCGCGTGTGAATTTTTAAGGGGATTGTGGGGCAAATTGTTTCTAGGGGTGAAACTATGGCTGGAAAGGCCAGAAAAAGCTTGGCAAACACGTGGAAAATTTTTTAAAATAACTTTTTCAGTCTCCGATGTGGCTGATCCTCTCCGCCGATTACTACGAACGGACGGCCAAAGCGATGAGGCCGAATCTACACATTTCAAGCCGGTTTTGGGGTCGAAAGTAGTGGGTTTTTTCTTTAACATTTTCGAAAATTCCGCAAAAAGTGAGATTGCCTGTAACGATCATTTTAGAGGAGCGGGTAAGGTATGCTTCTGGAGTTTTAGATTATAGATTTCCCATAGACCGGCAGACATTTTAAACTAGGAATTTTTATCTGCCCAAGTAAAGTACTGTAGGTGAATTTTTTCATTTTCTTTTCGGCCTGTTTTGGTGTTTCCGACAAGTTGACGCTCGAAACCAATTTGGTATAATCCTTGCTAGGATATATACAGAATCCCAAAATTATTTTTCATCATGAATTGACGCTGCACTTTTGAGCTGACCACGCTGATGGGTGAGTACAAGATGTTCCGCTATTCAGAAAAACAATGAACCAGGAGAATCATGATATTTGGCACCATACGGTATCGCTTTTATAATATTTTCCAATTTAAAATAGTTCGAGAAAATTGTCTAGACTGTTGGCCTGCACTTTTAGGGTTCGGCAAAACTTTGTAAATCCTGGTGAACATATGATTTTACTTTAATCGCCAGTAGAAATTGTCATTGCTATTTTGCGTTGTTTTTCAACATCCTAAAAACTCTAGTTCCGCAATTTTCGCTTCTGTAACCAAATTTCTTAAATTTTTGCCCGGACCTTTTGCATTGTTGGGGGTTTTTTACTCGTTCAGTGGTAAACCACCCCCCAGGATAAGGTTTCGCTTCTTCAAGGCGTAAACTCGTTAGAAGTTTTGCTCTCCACCCCTGATAATGCAAAAGAACGGTTCACGTCAAACTTGATACGAGTCAGCCTGTAAAATCCTGCAATCGCATACCAGCACTCCAAAGTTCAAAAGTCAAATTCCCATAGCCCCACTACGCATTTTCGTACAACCCACCTCCCCAGGGCTTTTCCCGCCGCCGAATAAATACATCGGCTAATCGACACCCACATTCAGAGGTTGTGGGGGAGACCCCGACTCTGATTTGCGTAAATATTCAATTTGTGGAAGATTTGTGCCGTCTCAGGAAAGGGGGTGGCCTCGTTAATTTACACCGCCTCCCCACACAGGTGACGAATCGCCACTTCCAAGTACGCGCCAATACTCAGGACACGATTTTTTAGGGTAATAAGTTAGGGGGAGCGATGGAAAGCAAGCGGAAAAATGTCGCGCCTGGGGAGTTGGGCTTAAGGCGGCCTCAAAGAACTTTAAAAATTGTCGCTGGGTGTAGGTTGTCGTTAGGTCGACCTACCATAGGTATCATATATGTTTTTGAGGTTTAGAAATTTCATTAAGGAAGTTATAGTTTGAACTTGCCGAAAAACCCGCTTTCGGCCAGTTACCGGCGTTTTTTTTTAATTTATCAGAGACTTTTAAAATTCAAAATACCTCTTTTACGGGATAATCAAAAATACAACATTTTATTTTGGATATCCGGACGTATTTTCGGGTCTTCTCTGAATTATTCTTGCATAAATCACCTGCAATCGGTTACAAGGTACATTCTAAAATCTGTTAAAAATGCTAAAGTCAATTGTAGTAATTTCTAGCACCGCGTAGCTCAAATTTTGGTATACGGTAGCTTGAAAAGATACAAGAACCTGAAAATCACCTTTTTAATGCTATTAATAACCAGTGTTCCCCGATCCTTTAACCCACTTCCACAAGCTGCCACGCCCCGTACCTCAAAAACCAATCCCCAAAAAATTCCATTAGCTCGCGTTTGTATCACTTCCTAAAAAGCGCTATTTTTGCCTACCCAGCCACCAAATTTGATTCCAATAAGCCGCGTGGGCTATTGGGGAAAACAAGGAAAAATTCTCAGGTGACCAATTCCTCAAAAAAACCTCAATAAAACGAGAACTTCCAGGTGCAGACCACATCACCAGACACATCCACCAGCAGCAGCTGTGCAAGTACTAGACGTCATGCCTTCAGTAAAGTCGCTTCATCAAGGAAAGCCATCACGAATGCCAAGTTTATGCCTCGTTTTTATTCGGCCATGTGTTGTGTGTTCCGTTTTCCAATTATGTTCTCTACCGCTCACCCCATAGCCGATGTACATCCTGCTAGTAAAGGGTTTTTATGTTTTTTGGTGGCATTAAACGTTAAGAACATCATAATGCACTTCGGGCCCGAAAATTAGATAATAAAAACTTTGAAAATTACAGAGAAAGCATTATTCTACTAGAAAAAGACACACCACAGCCCAAACTACTGTTCGGAAGGCTTGACTCTTCCGAACTGGAACTGGAACGACTCATAACCGTTCAAGAAAAACGATTCGGCAAGAACTAAATACAGGGTTTGAATCAGCGGAAAATTCTGCCCAAAATGGGTTAATTTTTTAGCGGACTAAGCTATGATTTCCGAAGCAAAAGTGTCATTAAAAGAAAAGCGTAAAGTACCGAACGGCAAACTGGACTGGGAAGAGGATTCTACAACTCGGACCGTTCGGTTTTGGAGAAAGGCGCTCCAAAATCGGATCAAGACGTGCGGGGATCGCGGTTAAGCGACCTAAAGCTTCTTCATGAAACCGAAACCCCGATTTGCTTCCTGCTCTGTAAAGAAACAACTCAGGGTCCACTATTTTAGAAGATTAAACGCTAAAAAATACTATTACGTTGTTGTCTCCTAATGCTTTCCGCATGAAGGAGCCTTCGGAAACTCTCGCCCTTGAGGAATAATACACTTCACGCGTTTACAGCTACACTATAGCTGTAAACGCCTGAAGTCAGCTATAGAGAGCACAAGGAGGACATCGAATACATGAGAACTATAAAGATCAGTCGCGGGCCTGTTGTCATTGAGAAGCTGATGTTGTGCGCGTCTAAGCCATGGAGCTCGGCGTCAAGTAGAATGTGGCGTCGTCTTCCTTCAACACCATTTTGCCATCTAAAGTATAGAATCAGTTAGCTGCCCATACAAATTCTCACCTTCGTTCTTTTTCGCCTCGGCGCCCAACCGCTTCATGATCACATGCTCGATGGGCTTCTTGAATAGCAACAGTCTGAAAATTAACCGTTTAAGCCTTAAAGCGCACGTTCAGGGACGATATTTATATTGAACGTATATTGCCATGACGCCGAGAGACTGGGAAAAGAAGGAGACGCAGGTGTCATAGGCAATATACGTTCAACTGCCTGAACGTGCACTTTAACCCAGAATTTTCT